TGGGGAGCAGGTCTGTCACTGTATAACACTGGGATACAGTACCGGTGGGGAGCAGGTCTGTCGCTGTATAACACTGGGATACAGTACCGGTGAGGACAGGCCTGTCACTGTATAACACTGGGATACAGTACCAGTGGGGGACGGGTCTGTCGCTGTATAACACTGGGATACAGTACCGGTGGGGGACGGGTCTGTCGCTGTATAATACAGGGGTACAGTACCAGGGGGGACAGGTCTGTCACTGTTTATCACTGGGGTATAGTACCAGTGGGGAGCAGGTCTGTCACTGTATAACACGGGAGTACAGTACCAGTGGGGACAGTCTATCACTGTGTAACACTGGGGTACAGCATAATGGAAAGAGATCTGTCACTGTATAACACTGGGGTACAGTACCGGTGGGGGACAGGTCTGTGACTGTATAACATGGGAGTACAGTACCAGTGGGGACAGTCTATCACTGTAACACTGGGGTACAGCATAATGGAAACAGATCTGTCACTGTATAACACTGGGGTACAGTACCAGTGGGGACAGGTCTGTCGCTGCATAACACTGAGGTACAGCATAATGGAAACAGATCTGTCACTGTATAACACTGGGGTACAGTACCAGTGGGGACAGGTCTGTCGCTGTATAACACTGAGGTACAGTACCGGTGGGGAACGGGTCTGTCACTGTATAACACTGGGATACAGTACCAGTGGGGACAGTCTATCACTGTGTAACACTGGGGTACAGCATAATGGAAACAGATCTGTCACTGTATAACACTGGGGTACAGTACCAGTGGGGACAGGTCTGTCACTGTATAACATTGGGATACAGCACCGGTGGGGACAGGCCTGTCACTGTATAACACTGGGGTACATTACCAGTGGGGAGCAGGTCTGTCGCTGTATAACACTGGGATACAGTACCAGGGGGGACAGGTCTGTCACTGTATATCACTGGGGTATAGTACCAGTGGGGAGCAGGTCTGTCACTGTATAACACGGGAGTACAGTACCAATGGGGACAGTCTATCACTGTGTAACACTGGGGTACAGCATAATGGAAACAGATCTGTCACTGTATAACACTGGGGTACAGTACCGGTGGGGGACAGGTCTGTCACTGTATAGCA